ATATATATATATATATATATATATATATATATATATATATATACTGTATATATACAAGCACGAAAGCACGAATACCCACCTCAGATCTGAGGTATATAGACATATAGATGAAGGTGACGACTGAATTGGTGCTGATACATGGATGGATAGATGGACGGATGGCAAAAACGAAGGAAGTTGGAATGGTCACATACTGGCTTTTCCAAGGATGTCCACAAAGCTGATAATAAAACAAAACACAGACACACACACACACACACACACACAAATAGTACAAAGAAGGGTGCAACTTCACAAGTACAGTTATGCATTTACTCAATTATAAAGAAAACACAAGCAGCATGTAAATGATATTTAAATTAGCAAAGACACATGACATTACTAATAAAAAAGCTTCTGGTTTCCTTCGCTTTGTGTATCAGTCACTTATTACGTTTCCACACACTTGCTGAGGATAACTAAGTGCATGCTCTATAACCATGTTTATGCTCATGTTGCAGTTGCTGTTGTAGTTGCAGATAATTTTAGATAATAAAGTTGGCACAAACAGAAGATGTCTGCCATCTATTGAAGATACATAAATAAAAATATTGGCTAAATAAAAATAAGCCAAGACAGATGTTTGTGAGTAAACCATGTTATAAAGCAAAACAATACTACCTTATTATGTTATATACAGATTTTTTGTTATTTTTTTTTTATTGTTTTCCATAAGGCTTTATTGTCACATCCCGCTCCGTACGATCCCGATGTGTGCCACGCCCCCCTTATTACCTCGTGTTCTTCCCTGATGGATCTCACCTGTTGCTCGTTTTCCTCAGCTTGTTTAGTGTATTTAGTCCTTGTCATAGTCAGTGATCCCTAGGTTAGTCATTGTATTGTTACGTGTCGTCCCTTCCTGTCTGCCCTGGTCGTCATTAAAGTCCCGTTTCCCCGAACCTCCGACTCTGTGATCCTGTTTACCCGCCCGCTCACCGGCGTAGCGTGACATTTATATTGTCAAAACCTGAATAATGCAACAGCTATAATTGTGCTTTTTACATGCTGAGTTCACAATACAATTTTCTCACGATTTTTTTAGCAGAATGAGCTGCAAACAAATTTATTCAAAAATATTCCTTTAGTTATCTTTCTAAACTATGCAAAACATGTCCTCTTCTTAACAGTGCAACTAAATAAAACTGAATAAAGAATAAAAAATCCCAAATCAAAATAAGTAAATCTTCGAAAAAAATCTTCAAATAAATAAACTAAGGCTTGCATGTGCATCTTTTTAGCGTGGGCTACCCTTTTAATAATCTTCGCTCAGCTCACTGTGGTGCCGGGGGACATGCTATTTCTCTATGTTATCAGTCTTTTACAATGTTTGCATGCAGTTTTTGTCTTGTCTGTGCTTTTCTCACCATTTTCGTTTGTGATTACCGGGAATCTAAAATGCTGCCACATCGCCAATTTAAGATTGGGCGGTGCGTCCATCCATCCATTTTCTGAAACTGCTTAATCCCAACTGGGGTTGTGGGGGGGACCGGAGCCTATCACGGGAACAAGGGGCACAGACGGGAACCAACCCCAGGCAGTCGCCTACACACCTCTCTCTTAGCTGTCCATCTTGTTCGATGACAATGCTTGCTATGGGGAGTGGGGGGCAGGATTGGGGGGAAACAATGGTTTTGGCATTGGTGCCACTTCATATAACTGTGGAGGCTGATTCGGGTGTGTCTTTCTGTTCTTTTTTGAAGAAAAATGCTATTCATTTTTTCGGTTGCCTGGATACAGATGGATTTCCAGGTTAGTCTACTAAGTGCTTGTGATTCAAGTTGGCCTGGGTTGATGTTACAGCGCTTCAGAAGTTCCTTAGTATAGTCCTTAAAGTGCCTTTTTTGGCTGCCAGTAACCCGCTTGGAGTTATACAGCTGCCTGTAAAGAGTTTAGCGGGGAAGACGATGGCCGGGCATACGAATGATGTGGCCAATCCAGCGCAGATGTCAGAGTTGCTTCCATGCAGATGGTATTGCTTAATGATAAAATGTCCATATGAGGGACTCGGTCTTCCCAAGATAGATTGAGAATTTTTTGCAGGCACTTATTGTGAAACATTTCCAAACTGTTTATTTGACGCCTGTATGGGGTCCATGTTTCTGCCCCATAGAGCAAAGTGGAAATGCAAACTGCATTGTAGACTGCAATTTTGGTGCTGATCATCAGATTTTTGTTGTCAAATACCCTTTTTCTTAGTCTCCCAAAAGCAGAGGAAGCATTACTGATATGGTGATTTATTTCCATGTCAAGAGAATAGTCAGATGTGAGCGTGGAACCAAGATACTGTAGGTGAAGTGACGGACAAGGCTAAGAGGGCACCCATGAATATGGAAGCTGGGTAATGAAGGGGGTTGAGTGATGAGTTGAGCCATAATCTCAGTTTTCTTGATATTGACCTGAAGACCAAAGGATTGATACAGACTAGAGATGGTATCTAGTGCATGCTGCATGGAGTTTGGACTATGCGCCACGACAGCGCAGTAATCAGCATACTGGAGCTCATGTATCACACAAAGTTTTGTCTTTGTTTGTGCCTGGAGCCTGCGGATGTTAAACAGGCTACCATCAAGGCGATATTCCAGGTGAATACCATCTTCGTGTTTCATGGCGTAATGAAA